GTGATTCAGGTTCTCCTCCGTCAACTTCCCTGTCAGGAAATTCTACAACTTCTGCAAGATTAAGAATTTCAGCTTATGCTGTATTTGTCTCAGGTGGTTTAAAACATCCAAAATCATTGATAAACTGACCCTCCCCAAACTAAAGCATAGTGAATTTTAAAAGATGGTCTCTGTTAAGTGGGGAGGTATTTCAGTTTGAACTTAATTTTACAAGTGGTCAATTTATTACAGTGTATTCTGTTATGTATTTCAATTCTTTTTTAAAAATTGTGATAGTTGAGGGCACTTATATAATAAAAAGTTGAGAAAATAAGGAACTGATATACTCTGTAATCTTCAAATGTTTTCAAGCATAAGATACAATAAGAACTAAAACTAAGAAATGGCAGAGGAAATAAAGATAAGCGGATGAAATTGCAAAACTGAATCTATAAAAATATCAGAATGGCTAGCATTGTGGTGCCAAGAAAGTGGTGAAGTCAAAGAATTCATAAAGATGATAAACAAACTGCAAAGATAGAAGGCTGAAATTTTTATAGAGAGAATTTTTACAGCGATATTACAGATAGAGAACAGGGAAGAGAAGTTGGAGTGAGAGACTATCTGCTTCTTAAATTACTCCCACTGTAGAGAACAAAAAAACAATTTGCTGATATCTTTATTCCCCTCTATGACCCTATTTTTACCTGCAAAATCTTAGCCCTGAATCAATGTCACAATCCTCCTTTTCCATCCCCAGGGAATAGAGCAATTAATCTCATCTGAAACCTCAACTGCCCAGCCTGTGAAATAAGGCTGGCCATCCATTCTCACAGAGAAGCCAACTAGAGGTAGGACTTTTGGTTCTGAATTCAGCTAAACATCTTCAAAGAATTGTATCTAGCCTTCCTTATCCAGGGCTATCAGTGAAGGGCTAGCTGGAATTCAGAGAACAATTCACAGTCAGCTGAGACATTTTCTGTTGAGCTGTCTAGAGAAGGCTGTGGGGCTTGTCAGTAACAGTTGATTTCTATAAGGGTTATATTTTTTTATTTTATTCAGAGATTTATAAAGAAATTTACATGATAAGTATTATTGTCAAGAAAAAAGTTTGTCTATTCTCTGGTCATTTAAGCAAAATCCTCCTTGCAGGGCCCACCCATGGACAAAGCCCAGATTTAATCTCCCAGAGTCTTCCAGGCACTCTGTGGTCCATGAGAAGCCCTCAAGTTGGCAGCCTGTTCCCTTGTGTCCTGTGCTGGTACTTAATCTTCCATCTCTTCAGGGTACAACTAGACAGAGGCCTATCAGATCCTCAAGGGACTTGACATTGGAGAAATGTACTATTCATTATCTTTTATCTTTAAACTGCTACACTTTTCAAAAAGACTCTCAGTATTTCCAGTAATTGTGCAGCAGTTTACCCAACACTAAGGTTCTCACTATTACAAACTAAAATAGGGCCCGGCCCGGTGGCGCAAGTGGTTAAGTGAATGCGTTCCACTGTGGCAGCCCGGGGTTCACCGGTTCAGATCCCAGGCATGCACCCAGGCACTTCTTGGCAAGCCATGCTGTGGCGGCATCCCATATAAAGTAGAGGAAGGTGTGCACAGATGTTAGCGCAGGGCCAGTCTTCCTCAGCAGAAAAAGAGGAGGATTGGCAGATGATAACACAGGGCTGGTCTCCTCACACAGACACACACACACACAAATTAAAATAAATTTTGAAAAGGAAAAAAGTGATCTTTGCAATTTTTACATAATCTTTATAATGAGTGCATCCTTATAAATGGAGGAAACAACGAATTTAACTATTTTGGTTAGTTAACACAGTAGGTAATATACTTTATATATTACCAATTTTGAAATTATTTGTATTTTAAAATACTGCTTCAAACCCCTAAATCATTGTAAGTGGTAGAGTCTGCCATCTGATTTGGCTGAACAATTATATACAGTGAGTCAGACAAAACTCTTCCATTTCTGTATAATCATATATGTGGGTGGTAATGGTTAGTTCTTATAGGTTGTTTGAACACTTGCATATCAGAAAATACAAGTGGCCATTACAAATTAAAATTTTCACCAAATACAAGATTATCTGCTTCCCAGAAAAAGAAAATATTACTATAACATTAAGGCTAAAACTGTCAAAATGTAAGCCAAGATAAACTCAAGTAAAGCTTTTGCAGAAAAATTAATTGGCTTATCTTTGAAACTTTATCATGTTTATTATGTAAGCAAGATACCTTCAAAGCTTAGACTATAGGAAGTGCTTATTGCTAAGTTAACATTGTAATCATTTATTTTGTAAATGTTAATATGAGATATGTATCATTTTCTACTACATTCAGATTTTCAAGTTCTGCTGAATCTAAGGCCACATTACTGGCAAGTTGGGATACCTCTAGACATCTGAAAAATATGAATCTTCACAGAAGCATATAAATTCTCTATTCATCAGGTTCTAAATTCTAAAACATTCTAAGGTTTTGGAACAAACCAATGGCGTTCCAAATTTACAGTGAGGCTGCCTTTGCCCTACATGATCCTATAGGAAGAGAAATCCAGATTTTAAATAGAGGAGATTATGTACAAAAATAAAGTACATTTCAAGTCTTAAAGGGGATTTCGAGAAAGAAGGGACTCTCAGAACATGTGGTAAGTGGTAAACAACTTATCAAGGGCTCTCTAAAGGAGAACATATTGTGGAAAAAAGAGCTTCAAAACGAGCTAAAATGGCATCTCTGGAATCCTTACAATGAAACAGACTCTGAACTGGTTTTTCCTAAAATTTAAAATGCATCTTATCCTCCAAAGTAATAACACCTCCCTGCCTTGCAGCTTACCTGGGCATGGTGATGTGTTGGAATCACTTTTCTAATTCTTTGGCTCTTATACTTGATGGGCACCAGAAGCACCTGGGGGCCTTGTTGAAACCCAGATTGCCGGGCCCCTCCTCAGAGTTTCCAGTTCAGCAGGTCTGCAGCAGCACCTGAGAATTTGCATTTCTGCCCAGTTCCCAGGTGATGCTGATGCTGCTGGTCCAGGGAGGGCACTTTGAGAACCACAGCTTGATTTATATCCTATATATGGTTACGAAATCCATTATTTCATCCTTTAGCTGCTACTTTTCCTTTATCACATCAGCACCTTAGCTCCGTATCTCCTCACCTAGCAATGGGAATACTTGGAGAGTTTAACAGCTGGTCCTCCTTTCCGACTCAGTTCTCCCTCTTCCTCTCCATACTACAGTCTCTTGCCAGGTAACAGTTCCTTAAATATCAGTTCATCATCGATCTTCCTTGCTCAAAAACTCATGGCTCTTATGCTGATCACAAGACATTTTAAATTCTCTACTTGGCTCATAAGGTCTGTAATAGCCTGTAGAATGTGGACAACCTGTTCCCTACCCTGCCTACTATAAAGGAGTACGTGAGGATTACATAAGATACTGTCAGTTCTCATTATGCACAGTGTGACATTCTACAAAGTCACTGTGAACACTGAATCGGTGAATATGACCCACTGCTTCTACAGGAAATGCAGGGTTATGTTGCTGCAAGCCTTAGTCATATTTTCTTCAACTGTTCAATATATAACCTTGTACTCTGTGTGTTTCTCTTTAAAGTCACCTTATTTAATATATATTGTTGACATATTAACATTGAACCCACACCAACAGCACTGTAACTCATGTCTGAAAGAAGATTGTCGAACACACATACTTTCTCTGTAAGGGCAAGTCTCAGCCTCTTGCCCTGAGGAATACCAGGCAGCATTGCAGCACTACACACGGGGGCCATATTAAATGACAAAGTCACCAACACAAGGCACAAAAACACAAGAAATGAGACACTAAATAGACTGCAAGGACACTTGTTTACAGTATGAGCTGAAACAAGAGGGCAGAGTGTTACCTTGTTCCCCCTCAGCTGGGAACGTGCATGTTGAGTAACTCAAATTTTTCACCACTTTATGCATATCTGCAAATGGACATGAAAGCCCTGTGAGTGTTGATTTGGGGGCTGCTGGTACATTTTAGCTAGTGGACAAGTGTGCAAACATGGAATCCACAAATAATGAGGATCAACTATATTATGAAAACATCTTTTCAAAACCAGAGTATTGCTCAGATATAAGAGCAACAATCATAACATAACAGCTAACATTTTAGTGCCTACTATGTGCCAGGAGCTCTTCTAAGTACTTTACATAAAGTTAATGCGTTTAAATCTCACTAAAACCCTATGAGATAGGAGGTCTCAGCAGCCCCATTTTCTAGATGAGGAAACTAAGGCTCAGAGAGTAAATACTTTGCACAGGTTGCCCAGTTTAAAGTGAAATAACTGGGATTGGTGCCCAGACAAACAGATCCAAAGCCCACAGCCTCGACCACTATGGTAGGAATGTGAGCGAATTTTCTACCACTCCCTGAAAAGCCCCTTCTGCTCCAGCCAGTGTGATCTCCCACATACTTATTCACTCATCAAACATTTTCTGAGTGCACCAAAGGTGTCAGGTACTGTGTTTAGATACTGGAGGGAGAAATATAATGTCGATGCAAATAATCGATAACCAATCTATAAATCAAAATTGGGGTGAGTTTATTATGAGCCAGCCTTTGAGGACCATATAGCCCGGGAGAGACCTTTCACAAAGAAATGGAGCACTCCAAAGAAGTGGGGTGTACAGCGTGGTTATATACCATCAAAGAGCATGTACCACATGTGATTGCAATGTCGCTTTTACAATAGCTGCGACATTGACCTGTTGTCACGTGGATTGATGGACACAGTGGGTATCAGGTCTGTTGTCTCCGTGGGCGTGGCTATTGTCTCCAGTTGGGTGATCACGGAATGAACGCAGCAATCAAATCCTAGCCTAGGGAGAAATGCATATCCTTAAGGAAATGCCAATGTGAAGGAAGTTGCATTTACATCTTAAGGGCACTGTTCTTGTCTTTGGGACCTATTAATTGCTTAAAGCGGATACACAATGGATGAACAGAGGCTACAGGCCCTTTTGGGAAAAAAAAAGTCAGGCCTAATTAGTTTTACACCAAATGGCTTCCTCATATCTTCCAATATATCCTATTCCTTGCCATTTAGTTATCTTTTTCCCTGTTTTGATCTATAATCTTTCTGTAGAAAGCATTGATGATCAAAATATTGTCCCTCGGTGCCAGGATGGTTTCTGCCTGCCCTGGGTCTATCATGTCCCTCGGTGCCAGGCTTTTATCTCATCTATTTGCCCAGTTGTCCACATTGGGGGGAATTAGTCAGATATTGTGGACAAGCAAAGAGGTATATATATATATATATAAACAGAGGAAGCATTACATGGGTTTTGGGTTAATTTTAGGTTGTTGCATAAACATTGTATATGCTCTTTTGTTTTTAAATATATATAGCCCCTTATGTTACATTGTGCACAATTATAGAACAAGTACAGTAACAATGATAATAATTTAACATTTTTTAAGAGATTAGTTTAAAATGAGTTTTTCGGCATAATCCTTATCAGAAAAGGAAATTTGTCCAAGGTTATAAGATTGATCGGCCATCACAATTTGCCGAGCGATCTTTACTCTAGTTTGCATGCCAGTCTTACAGCACTGAGTAAAGAAAACAACAATCAGTTTGAATATTATGATTAGTACAAGAATTCCAAGAAGTAATAGAAACAGGAATTGCAATCCAGATCAAAAAAGGGAACCAATACCAGAAAGGAGCCAACCAAACAAATCAAGGCTGAGTGTAGGATCACTTAGAGCATTCACCCATTTTTTCATGTGCTTTAGTAGAAATGACACATTGGAAGACTCTTCAGGTATAAAAACACAGCATTCTGTTTGAATGATCGCACATGTACCACCTTGGGATGCTGTAAGTATATCTAAGGCCATTCTATTTTGAATGACAGGTTTTCTCATTAAAGACATTTCAGTATTTAATAAAGCTATTCTTGCCTGACTATCATTAAGGGTTTGTTGAGTAAATTTTGTCAGAGCCTCTATATGTGATATGACATCTTCTAGCCCCACGGAAGGAGCAAATATAGCTGCTAGGTGATCATACCAGTGGAACATTGAACAAGCCCATCTGGCCTTAAGGAGAGGCAGATTGGTGACAGATGTTAGCTCTGGGCAAAACTTTCCCTGTATCCAAAAGAAGCCCAGAGTGCAGCGCCCTAGCCATCCTGGTGGCAACCAAGGCCAGAGGTTTGTTCCACATAACCACTGAGTTCCATTAGGAGACATCCAATAGACACCTGGTCTTCGAGACCAGTCTGTTCCAAACCAATCATTTTTTTTAAGTATAATAGTATTCTGACATGACTCGGGGGATATCCAGCCCATCTTTTGAGTATAATTTGGTAGATTTTGTTGGGAATGATTTCTCTGTTCCCAACATAAAGGTGCTGGTTTGGTTAAAGTTCCATGGCTAGGAGTAAGTCAAACATATCCATCCCAAATTTGTGTGAAACCTTCGATAGTTTTTATTGTAATGTCTGGTTTCTTTTCTTTATCCGCAATTTGTTGGGATAATTTGATGGTTTGAGTAACAAAAAAAGAATAACAGTGTCCTGTATTATTAATAGTATGGGCTATTGGCCATGTTTCAGGATCATAATTAGTAATATCAGATGAACTGAGACCATTAGAACTAGAACTTTCTATCACAATAAATTGCTTTAGAGCTGTCCAATCCATGCCTTGAAAGGGAAAGACCCAGCAAGGCAACCCAGAGGTGTTAGAAAGTGGAAGTTGGCCACATATCCAACAGTTGGACTGATTTTTGTGTGTAGCAAAGGGATGTGCCCATTGCAGAAAAACATTGCCATCAGAGGTCCATTCGGATGTAGATTGGAAAAACAAACATAGCATTAGAAAGACCTTAAATGGCATTTTTTTGTGTAATTAGCAAAAGCTTTTGTAATTAGGTTCTAATCTATCTTATAAAGTTGAAGGGTAAAGTATTGGTGTAGGAAAATGGTAAGGCAATCTAGAAATTGATTATTTTAGCAATTACATAAAGCTTAAACATTACAAGGGCTTAAATGAGGAGATATATGGTTAGGAATACAGGCTTGGTTTGGAGTCTTGGGACACCTGTCTACAACAGATGTCGTCTTCTCACCCTGGTTTGGAGATATTCATCTTGGTCAGACGAAGGCAGTTGTCAGAGACTGGAGTTGAAGTCCATTCAGGTGGAGAAGACTTTTTTAAATGAGAAATGTGAATCCATGAGTCTATGCCTTTTTTTTTTTTTTTTTGATGTTTTAATGGTTTCTAACATTGTGAAATTTTGGGTTGTACATTTTTGTTTGTCCATCACCATATATATGACTCCCTTCACC